TATATCCTTTTTTCCCTTTCTTCCCTTTTGGTGTGGAAGAAATACGACTCTTCAGCGGCAATGGACGTCAACTGCACATTGATTGAGTGCAAGGATAGAAGGGACACCTCGAGAACGTTGTTTAATCTGCTGATTTTGGATGCCCCGTCACCCAGCAGCCTCCACACGTACATCAAGGCACTTCAAAGGCGTCACGTGCGTCATCTCGTGCGAGTTTGCGGTCCGACGTACGACGCCACACAGCTGGAGAAGGACGGGATTGATGTACACAGCTGGCCTTTTGACGACGGGGCTGCACCGCCAAAGTCGGTGGTAGAGAGTTGGTTTCAACTCCTCGACAAGGAGAAGGAGAAGCTGCTTTCTGGTGCCTCCACGCAGCCTGCGTCTATTGCCATTCATTGCGTGGCTGGTCTTGGCCGTGCGCCCATACTTGTGGCTCTGGCGCTTGTGGAGTACGGCGGCATGGAGCCTCTTGACGCCATTACACTCGTCCGCGAGAAGCGACGGGGTGCCATCAACCAAACGCAGATGCAGTGGCTTGCAAAGTACAAGGGACGCAGTGCGGCGGGTGGTGGGTCGAGCGGTGGATGCACCGTCATGTGACACGTGTGCGATGACGGTTTTTTGTGTGTGCCATCGACTGAACTCTTTATATAAATATATTTTTTTCTTTTTTTCTATTCTTCTTCTTCTTCTCCTGCGGCTCACTCTCCCTGAGTGAGTAAGAAGGGAGTAAAAGCAACAGCCGCAAGGAGCAGTGTAAGATGCGGGGGAGGCGAAAAAGAGGAAAAAAGCAAAAAGGGGGAAATGATGGGATGGTCGATGTATATAAACGAAGAAAAGAAGAAAAAGAAAAAAAGGATTCCAGAAATATATTTTGAATTGGTAAAACGGAAGGGCGGGGGAAAAGGGAATAAAATAAATAAATAAAATAAAAAAAAAAAAGGAGCGAAGAATAATTGTTTTTTTCTTCTATTTTTCTTTCCTTTTCCATTAGAACATTTGGGACTTTGCCCTCAGCGTTGGAGTTGACATGCCTCCGCTCCCCAAAGTGGGCGGACGCAACTCTTAAATGACTGCATGGGGGGGGGGGGGGGGGTTATTTTTTTTATCTTCTTTTTAAATGCGTGTGTTTCCGGCGAATTCCGTCCTGCGGCGCCGC